GGGGGGGGGGAGAGATAGAAGTACCAGCATTTTGCGATATCCTTTTCTTAAGTAGTACAATTACAACCTTGCCGGCCCCGAGAGATTACTCGCGTTTAGTTTTACCTTTTCAATGCCAACCTGGAAAGTCATTTAAAAAGAAAGTACCTCAAAAGCATAGTTAACTACGGTCAAAAGTAGAGAGAGAGTAGACAGCCATATTATAGGAAAGACAATTTTGTTTAATTTTGAAACACATGTTAGCACTGTCCCTCCGGACTGGCTATACCTCCAATTCTATCAGGTGAAATTTTTCTACCTAAATTTGACTCTGTTTGGAGAAAAAGTCACGCGGGTTGTGTCACGTGATCTGTTTGGCTTTTTGTCGTGGGATCTTTGTAGTATATATTAAGTTTGGCTCTTCGGAGATTTTATATCGTTGTTTAGTTTTTAACGGGTACAAACATTCACAGTTATGAAAACGTGAAGTTGTTTTGCTCTTGTTTGCTAGAGTTAAGTGATAACGAGCTATTAATTTGCCTATCTCATAATCCCGCCATTGTTTATATCATATAACTGACTCCTTTGCTGTGGATAGTTCATACGTCAAGAATGCTGGTTCATAGTAACTCTACGATGCAAATGAAGTAAAGTTTGCTTGCGTTATTTTTTTAATAAAGCAGTCCTAAGAAAATACGCGTGCTCATTGGTTAAATATCGTGTTTCTCAGTATTAAACAATTAGATTTTGAGCTCGAGGTTTCTATCGCGTGATTGCGCCCTCGTGTCACGCATAGAAATCGAGAGCGAATAAATCGAGTCGTTCAAAACTTTATCTTACTCCTCTTCATAGCGACTTCGAAAAAGCCAAGAAGCAGCCGTAATTTTGTTAACAAGGGCACACTGCTACGCTATTTACAATCTATCACAGAATAGATAGTGAGTAGCTTAGCCAATCAGAGAACGGCATTCGTGATAGAGCGCTAGCAGATTTATACTAAAACTCGATAGAAACACAGTACATGTTTTCTATTTCTTAATCGTATAGTGCAGTGGAACCCCGTTAATCAGGTCACCACACCCTCTATAATTAAGCGGACACCAGCTTGAGTCCCAAACTTTTCTTCCCACATTTGCTGTAAACTAAACCTGTATTCAGCGGACACCTCTGTTAAGCGGACGCCGACACCAATATTAAGTCATTTTGTTGAACAAAACCTGCAATAAGCGGACACTTCAAGGGCATTTTACCTCTAAAAGTTCAGCTGAGACTCCTTTAACATTGTTCAGCGATGTCGTTTAAAGCTAAGTGATTATTCTAGATTGATGCATTGACTGACTGGACATTGTGCTATGAGCAGTCTTTGATCTTACACTGTGTTACACTGTGTTACAAAAGCGTTAATAATTAACTATTATTGCACAACATACATATAGTAGACCTGTTTTGAGCGGACACCCTGTATTAACTGGACACTAATGAGGGTCCCAAGGGTGTCCGCCTAATACGGGTTTCACTGTATACTAATTAATCTTTGGTTGCCACATTAATAATAAAAAGGCTAGACTAAGAGTAATCCCACTTTCGCTTAATACTTCGAGCGTGAAGAGAAAAAAACAATTCAAAGCGCGAGAAAAAATGGCTGCGCTAGACCTTGGAGCGAGAACGAGCTTCTCATCCCTAGATTTAGCGCGGCCAATTTTTTTTTTTTTGGGGGGGGGGGGCTTTTTTTGCATCACCCTCGATGGACTAAGCGAAAGAGGGACCACTTGTAGTCTACAATAAGGTTACATTTATCTGTACTGCATAGGAGGGTAATTATTTTTTCAGATTTTTTCTTATTCGCAAGATAATCCGTCTCAAAGTACGTGTTACCATGTGAGTTTCGTAGATGTTTCCCAGGCGCCGCTTAAGATGTTCACAAGAGTGGAATTGACTTCACTTGATTGGCTAATTCTAGATATTTCTGAGATTTTTCTGAAGCCCGGACGTTTTCGATACGACGGCAAATCGGGCGAAATGGCGTCCTTGACGAGACGAGGACGGCAGAGAGAGGCGTTTTGAGTTCTCGTTCGCATACCTGATCGTGTAAATTTACTGTCGGTAGCCGTCCCAGCTCGTACTGTCCTGATATCTCAATAATAAGGCCCATATGGGGGATTAACTCTCTTTTTCATATATATTTGTGCTGATTTGTGCCCACAGACCGAGTTCTTCGGTTCAGGAGCTGGCTACTTCACTTCGAAGTTCTTTATGTCCGAGGAAAGCATAAAATTTATTTCTCCTAGAGCCATCGAGTCTGTCAAGTCCATTCCTGTGAAGGTCGGTGATACATTCACCATCGCTGAGTATGGTTGTGCAGATGGAGGTACCCCCTTGCCACTGATGTACGCATGCGTAAAGAAACTGAGGAGTTTGTATGGGAATGAGTTAGAGGTGCATATTAACTACGAAGACAAACCAGAAAGTGACTTCAAGTTGCTCTTTTATTTTCTTCAAGGTAAGGGCAAGGTTATGAAAACAACTAAATATAGCACATTTTAATTCAAGGAATGGAAAAGACAAAGTGCCCAGGTCCCTCGAAAGACCAGGTAGGCCATAAAGTTTTGAAAATTTAAGGTGGTTCTTCACCTTATGAATAGGAACTTTTTAAACTTTACCAAAAGTTGCATTTTAGCTTTCTTATCAAAATTTGGAAAATATTAAAACATTTCACCGTGCCGTTTTTGAATTATAAGCCCTTAAAGCTATAATTAAGGTTGCTTTTTGCAGGTCATATTGTTGCTATGGTAACCTATTATGTCACGATAATGATACCAACCAGTTCTCCAACAATTGGGCAGTTTTTTGATACCATGATTGAAGCATCAACTGATAAAGTGTTGTTATAATGACCCATCAAAATATGTCTTCGAAAGCGCAGAAACTGTTTTGAGCCACCTTAATTGCACTTTGATCAATTTGGTATAAAACGACCTCGATGATTGTGCTGCATTCTCGATTCTTCAGTAAGTTACTATGATTATCAGTTGAGTAAGGCCCGACGAAAGTTTGGTGACCAGGTTTTAACGTTCAACTTGTGTTGTTGTCATGGGCATCTGGCTCCGTTTCCAGTTGCAACTTGTCGGCCTTTGACGTCATTGGCAGCAAAGCGCGCGAAATTGCCGGGACGATATTGTTACCATTGGAAACGGGGAAAGTTGCCCGTGGCAGCACCGGGATTTCAGTGCAAAACTTTGTCACCAAAGCTCTTTCTTTAACCTTTTTGTAGCCAATTTCTTCGATAACTAGATTTTATATTTCTGCTACGTTCGCAGAGGGGAAATGTATCAATAAAGTATTTTTAAGGAGAAAACATGTACACGCGTACGCCCGGTGACCTCAACTGAAATCCAAGGACTGCACTAACCATTACGCCACAGCGCATCCCCAAAGCAAAATCCGCGATTAACGTTCATTTTAAGGATCTTTGTTTGTAGGTTTACTTTCAGCTCCATCCAGCTACCTCACCGATGTGCTTGTGTCTGCGACGGCAACCAACTTTTACGACCAGTGTTTTCCCAGTGGTTTGTTAACTTCGGATTCGAAGCACAAAACTGTACTTTGGACTCTTCTTTGGTCTTTCCCACACAATCAGATATTCTCGAAGCGTCAACAGTCAACATTTACCTTATCTGGTAAACAATTTCTCTCATCGTCTCGATTTTCGACTCTCGAATCACAATGAGAGAAAAAGATCAGGAAATACTCGTAGTCTGCCCGTTTATTAATTTTGATTCATTATTTTACCTTTTATTACTGTATGTATCGTGGCATCATATCACATCAGCGCACAGGTTTGTTTGTGTGCGTGTGACACAGGCGCATGTGTCTGGCACCTGCGCGCGCTCGTGTGTGCGTGTTTACAAGATAAAAATAAAATGACATGCCTCTCGCCATGGTATGCTGCTCCTATGTACTCGTATGTACTCTGTGTTACTCGTATGTTACTCGCATGTTACTCGTATGTACTCGCATGTAACTCGTATGTACTCGTATGTACTCGTATGTTACTCGTATGTTACTCGTATGTACTCGTATTTTACATGTATGTTACTCGTATGTTACTCGTATGTACGTCCTTGTGTGGTGTTTTAGTCGCGATCCTTTTATATTGACAACATTAAATGCATCCAGTCCTTGTGTTTACGTCACGTTACGTATATTTATTTGTATGCACTCTACTTTGCGACTACGTGTCCCTAAACAAGCTGTGTTACTTTGATAAATGTTTTCCGACAGATTAAGTCTATTCAGAAAGGAAGAAATTGAAATGACTTGCATACGGAAGCCCCAAAGGGACATCCACTTCTTAAAAATGGTATTTTTTTTTTTTGTAAATGGGAGTTTGCTTTTCGAAAATGGGAGTTTGTTTTTCGAAAATGGGAGTTAGTTTTACGAAAATGGGAGTTTGGTTTTGGAAAATGGGAGTTTGGTTTTCGAAAATGGGAGTTTGTTTTTCGAAAATGGGAGTTTGTTTTACGAAAATGGAAGTTTGTTTTTCGAAAATGGGAGTTCGTTTTTTCGAAAATGGGAGTTTGTTTTTCGAAAATGGGAGCTTGGCCTTTCGAAAATGGGAGTTTTTTTTACGAAAATGGAAGTTTGTTTTTCGAAAATGGGAGTTCGTTTTTTCGAAAATGGGAGTTTGCTAATTTGTTTCTTATACCAACAAGATTCTTTGTGCCAAATTTCATGCTTTCTTCCACTCTGTAACGATCTACCCTTAAAATCACCCTAAGCCACCGCACTACTCCTCCCAATCCCAATCTACGTCTGCTCGAGTATCGTCTTCCCCGCCGCCCCCATCCCTCCTTTGCCTTCCCCTCCTAGCGGCAGACGCACCGTGGGGGGCGAGGTTAAAAATGGCGGCGCGTTTTCCCGAAGATGGTGAAAGCGAAAGTTCAGGGAAACTTGGCCTCAAATCACAGTCAAGGGTAGGCGAAAATGAGAAAGACTCCAATGGTAAGTTATTGATTTGAACTCAAATCGCTATTTAGCTCAGATCTTCTCTTGAGCTCGGATTATAGTGTCTGAATTTTACTTACAATCAGCCTGGTGCTTACTTAGCTTATTTTGTTCGTTGCCCTGTGCTTTCGTTGAGTTATTGGTCATTCACTTCATAAATACTTTGCGGCAAATGCGAAAAACTACCAGTATAAAACAATATCAAGGAAGACTGAAGTATCGATAATAATCATATATTTTACACATCGAGTGCATGCGGAAGTGCGTACATTGTAGAGAGAAAGAACTTCATCGCTGCTTCGTAGTAACATTTTCTCGTCGTTTTTAGATTTAGATTCATTTTAGTCCTGGGTTATGATGTCAATGCATATGATAGTGCATTTATAAGTAATCTTACACACCAAGTATCCAAATAAGAGTTGTAAATGAGCCCTAAATGAGCATAATTTAAGGAGCAATTTGAGGTATGATACCCTTTAGGATGGCTGTCAAAATTGATCATTAAATATTCTTAACACCAACTTAGGCTCAGTTAGAAAAATGCCAGCTCTTCATGGCCAAGTTTGAAGTAAACACCAGGAGCAAGTTTATATCTAAAGGAAACATGACTCATATAATTGATAAACTGTAAAATACTCAACTTGATGTTAATGGATTTGCTGATCTTTTCAGGATCACTGTCACAGTGTTCAGCAATATTGAATGTTACACTGGCGTCTGATGCTGATGGCTGGAACAAGGCAGTGAACGGGCAGTTACTGACTAAACTTGCTGAGGACAGCAGAGTCAAACTGGTTGGATTTGTTCCTAAGTACACCACACAGCAGAAAGAACATGCAAGGAATTTGAACATTGAACTTGTTGATGCAAAAGAAATCTCTGGTTACTCACCAGTTGAACTTCTGGCTTATCCACCTGATGCTCTTGATATTGATATTCTCATAATACATGCTTACGGACGTGACCTCGGTCGACAAGCACAAATCATTCGAGAGACCAAGAAATGCAAGTGGGTTCATGTTGTTCACACGATTAGTGAAGAACTTGAGAAATTTCTAGAGAGATCAGCCTCAAGTATGGTTGTCCAAGAATCTGAACATGAACTTCAGACGACATTGTGTGAAAGAGCTGATCTTGTCATTGCAGTTGGTCCTAAAGTAGCAGAAGCTTACAAATCTGCCCTGCGTTTCTGTGGCAAAGATAAGAATGTGATTGACTTGACACCAGCAATCACTGAAGAATTTCTTGGTGTGCGTCAGATGGAAGGAGGTGCAGGTGAAAAGTTCCGTGTGTTGATCAGTGGATCAACTAAGTATTTCAAAGTCAAAGGATGTGATATTGCTGCAAAAGCTATCAAACTGGTGCAGGATACATCTTACCTTCTTCTGTTTGTTGGACAGCCAAAGGATAATGCAGCTCAGCTAAAGCAAGACTTACTCAAAGAGGGAATCAATTTGAATCAACTGACCATGAGAACCAGCTCTGGCGACACTGAATATTGGCGCAGGTTGCTTTGTGAAGTAGATCTTTTGATCAAGCCTTCAAGGACAGAAGGTTTTGGAATAAGTGGTCTCCGTGCCATTTCTGCCGACCTACCTGTTCTTGTCAGTGGAAATTGTGGACTTGGTATGGTCTTGAAGAAGTTACCCTCTGGTAAAGAACACGTTGTGGAGTCTGACGACCCTCAAGTCTGGGCTGACAAGATAAAGGAGGTCAGAGCCAAGGACCCTAAAGCACGCAAGTTGCAATCTGAAAAACTCAGATATGAGTACAGGAATCATTTCAGCTGGGAAACCCAGTGTGACCAATTGGTGGAGACAATGTTTAGAATGGTTCCAGCCAAATCTGGTATGTTTAAATCAATTTCATGTTTTATAATTATTGTAGTTATTTCATATTAAATTTAACAAATTGAACTCAGTTTTTTATACATCTGTCCTGTTAGTGATCATGAATTTTGTCATAACATTATCAAAGTAAACTATGGATCTAGGAGGCGATAGCCAAGTGGAGCTGCAGACTACTTTGACAATGTTATGATAAAATTCTTTGTCAATAACTGGACAGATGCATGAAAAACTGACATTGATTTGGTTTTTACAATAACAAATTGTCAAATTGTTTGCTCTTACTACATCACATTAATTATAAATTCATGTGTCTGTCCATTTACTGACAATGAAAACTAGCCAATGAGCATACAATAATTTCTGCAGTTATTGTAAAAACTGTTCTTCTTCATTAATTTTTCTATCAGTGAATTTAGCACTGTTGTTGAATTGCATGAAACAAATTAATTTTAAAGAATCTTATCTGGTCTGAGGATAAAGTTACCACCCTGGACAAAGCCATTGAAACAGTTTTCTCAAATGAATGTTTTATTTGCACATGATACTATGATGTATCAAACCACATCCAAATTGCCCC